TGGAAAGAAATCTATTATCCCCCTGTGATTTGAGTGGAGAGTTCGTTAATGTCTATAAGATTTGGGTTGTAAGATTGAGCTCAGTCTGATATCCCTTGTTACTCGTCCTCGTGATCTGTCCTAATGTTAACCAGTGGGGTGTTAAAGGCCCCATTATTATTGCTTGGGAGTCCTTAACTCTTTGGAAGTTCTAAGGACTTGCTTTATGAATTTGGGTGCTCCTGTATTGGTCATATAATTAGGAATTAGCCTCCTTGGTTGAATTGTTCCCTTCCATTATTAATGACTTCTTTGTCTCTGAAAGTTTGATTGACTGAACCCTTCCTTCTCTCAGCTTGTCAAATCATTCTCATCCAGCTTTGTTCCGTCCTGGCGATGAGCCTCATAACCTTTGGAGGGAAGAGATGGCCCTCCTGATTGTTGAATTTCCACTTTCTGCCACCGCTTCCCCATCTTTGTGGTTTTACTGCCTTGCTGGATGATGTGACGACTATATAAACACCTGTACGCAAATAAACTGGAAAATCTAGAAGAAATGGATAATTTCCTGGACACTTACACTCTTCCAAGACTAAACCAGGAAGAAGCTGACTCCCTGAATAGACCAAGAGCAGGCTCTGAAATTGAGGCAATAATTAATAGCCTACCAACCAAAAAAAGTCCAGGACCAGACGGATTCACAGCTGAATTCTGCCACAGGCACAAGGAGGAGCTCGTACCATTCCTTCTGAAACTATTTCAATCAATAGAAAGACAGAAACCCCCCTAACTCATTTTACGAGGCCAACATCATCCTGATACCAAAGCCTGACAGAGACACAACAAAAAAAGGGAATTTTAGACCAATATCCCTGATGAACATCGATGCAAAAATCCTCAATAAAATACTGGCAAACCGAATCAAGCACATCAAAAAGCTTATCCACCATGATCAAGTGGGTTTCATCCCTGGGATGCAAGGCTGGTTCAACATTCGCAAATCAATAAACATAATCCAGCATATAAACAGAACCAAAGACAAAAACCACATGATTATCTCAATAGATGCAGAAAAGGCCTTTGACAAAATTCAACAGCCCTTCATGTTAAAAACTCTCAATAAATTCGGTATTGATGGAACGTATCACAAAATAATAAGAGCTATTTATGACAAACCCACAGCCAATATCATACTGAATGGGCAGAAACTGGAAGCATTCCCTTTGAAAACTGGCACAAGACAGGGATGCCCTCTCTCACCACTCCTATTCAACATAGTGTTGGAAGTTCTGGCTAGGGCAATCAGGCAAGAGAAAGAAATCAAGGGTATTCAGTTAGGAAAAGAAGAAGTCAAATTGTCCCTGTTTGCAGATGACATGATTGTATATTTAGAAAACCCCATTGTCTCAGCCCAAAATCTCCTTAAGCTGATAAGCAACTTCAGCAAAGTCTCAGGATACAAAATTAATGTGCAAAAATCACAAGCATTCTTATACACCAGTAACAGACAAACAGAGAGCCAAATCAGGAATGAACTTCCATTCACAATTGCTTCAAAGAGAATAAAATACCTAGGAATCCAACTTACAAGGGATGTAAAGGACCTCTTCAAGGAGAACTACAAACCACTGCTCAGTGAAATAAAAGAGGACACAAACAAATGGAAGAACATACCATGCTCATGGATAGGAAGAATCAATATGTGAAAATGGCCATACTGCCCAAGGTAATTTATAGATTCAATGCCATCCCCATCAAGCTACCAATGACTTTCTTCACAGAATTGGAAAAAACTGCTTTAAAGTTCATATGGAACCAAAAAAGAGCCCGCATTGCCAAGACAATCCTAAGTCAAAAGAACAAAGCTGGAGGCATCACGCTACCTGACTTCAAACTATACTACAAGGCTACAGTAACCAAAACAGCATGGTACTGGTACCAAAACAGAGATATAGACCAATGGAACAGAACAGAGTCCTCAGAAATAATACCACACATCTACAGCCATCTGATCTTTGACAAACCTGAGAGAAACAAGAAATGGGGAAAGGATTCCCTATTTAATAAATGGTGCTGGGAAAATTGGCTAGCCATAAGTAGAAAGCTGAAACTGGATCCTTTCCTTACTCCTTATACGAAAATTAATTCAAGATGGATTAGAGACTTAAATGTTAGACCTAATACCATAAAAATCCTAGAAGAAAACCTAGGTAATACCATTCAGGACATAGGCATGGGCAAAGACTTCATGTCTAAAACACCAAAAGCAACGCAGCAAAAGCCAAAATTGACAAATGGGATCTCATTAAACTAAAGAGCTTCTGCACAGCAAAAGAAACTACCATCAGAGTGAACAGGCAACCTACAGAATGGGAGAAAATTTTTGCAATCTACTCATCTGACAAAGGGCTAATATCCAGAACCTACAAAGAACTCAAACAAATTTACAAGAAAAAAACAAACAACCCCATCAAAAAGTGGGCAAAGGATATGAACAGACATTTCTCAAAAGAAGACATTCATACAGCCAACAGACACATGAAAAAATGCTCATCATCACTGGCCATCAGAGAAATGCAAATCAAAACCACAATGAGATACCATCTCACACCAGTTAGAATGGCAATCATTAAAAAGTCAGGAAACAACAGGTGCTGGAGAGGATGTGGAGAAATAGGAACACTTTTACACTGTTGATGGGACTGTAAACTAGTTCGACCATTGTGGAAAACAGTGTGGCGATTCCTCAAGGATCTAGAACTAGAAATACCATTTGACCCAGTCATCCCATTACTGGGGATATACCCAAAGGATTATAAATCATGCTGCTATAAAGACACATGCACACGTATGTTTATTGGGCACTATTCACAATAGCAAAGACTTGGAATCAACCCAAATGTCCATCAGTGACAGACTGGATTAAGAAAATGTGGCACATATACACCATGGAATACTATGCAGCCATAAAAAAGGATGAGTTTGTTTCCTTTGTAGGGACATGGATGCAGCTGGAAATCATCATTCTCAGCAAACTATCGCAAGAACAGAAAACCAAACACCACATGTTCTCACTCATAGGTGGGAATTGAACAATGAGATCACTTGGACACAGGAATTGGATCATCACACACTGGGTCCTATTGTGGGGAGAGGAGAGGGGAGGGATAGCATTAGAAGATATACCTAATATAAATGACGAGTTAATAGGTGCAGCACACCAATATGGCACATGTATACATATGTAACAAACCTGCACATTGTGCACATGTACCCTAGAACTTAAAGTATAATAAAAAATAAATAAATAAAATAATAATCCTAACCAAAAAAAAAAAAAAAAAAAACCCTGCCTGGGACATGCATATCCACCTTCATTGTTCTGCACTATTTTTGATTCTTCCAATTTACATGTGCATTTTAATGAACGTCAAAGAGAATTTTGAATTGCATAATTTATTTAACAAATATGAAATAATAAATGTTGTTTTGAGAAATGGAAATAGATTATGAACATGTTTCTAAAGTTTAATGAATGGCTAGCATCTGTCCTTTCTGAAAGACTAGAAGAATGAATTCATTTCTTGGTATGAGCAGCATCATTTTTTCTCTAAGAAATTTAAGCCATTTTTTTTTTAGATGACAGTGTGTTTTCTATTTTCTTAAATGTCATTGCCCTAATATGCTTATTTCTTAAGATACCTGTACACAATTCACTTTTTAAACAATTGGGCTGAATATTAATTGGATTATGAGATTTTGCATGTAAATTCAATGAGTAATATCAAGTCAATCTCCCTTCCTTTAAAATATTTATTCTTAACTATACTTCTTATTTTTCAAAGAAAGAATACCACTTGTTTTGCTTAAAAAAATGCACTTGTTACCATTAACAAAGCCTCAATCTGATCTGATCTTGTATGGAGAATACTAATCAGGTAGAGAAAACTTTAGAATGTATATGATCGTGACTACAAGTCAGCTGTGACAGCAATTCTGATTTAATCTTTCACATTTTCCTCTTCCCCTCCCTTCAGTGTCAAGCTATCTACATATCTTACATTGACTACATCCATATAAACCATAAATAGAGGGCACAAAATTTAGATGTGAAAATAATATGATTTGCAAATGAACATCATGTTGAAATACAAGTTTTTGGCAATTTTTAAGCAATACTACCAAATAAATAGAGTAATGAAAAGTCAATTATGTGTATTTTAGAATGTGATGTATCAGCATTTCTAGATCTAAAGTAGCAAATAAAGGATTTTTTTAGAAATAAAAAATTTAAGGTAACGTATAAAAATCAAAGTGGCATGTACTCATTCAAGAGTGTGAAAGGATGGAAAGTCATTAATATTTATTGAGCATCTACCGTGTTCCAGGCTCTTAGCAGAGACTATTACATTTAGCCTTTCCAATAACCTTCTAAGGTAAATTTTGTTATTTCTGCCCATAGAGTGGAGAAAAATAAAGCCTCAAGAAGTAAAAATATTTTCTCAAAGTCACATATCTGGTAAGTTACATTTGTTGTTGACAGTCAAACCCAAGACATCCCATTTCCAAGGCCTGTGCAGGAACTGTAGAAGGACATGGATCCTGCCAGACAGGCACCAGATAGGCCTCAAAAAAGAATTCCAGTTGCTGCCAATGCAGGAGCATGTCTTGAGCCCTGTTTGGGGAACCTGATTTTACATATTCCCACTTACCTCATGGAGCTATTATGATGTATAAGTAAGAAAATAGATAGGAAGTCACTTTGAAGGTTTATACTGGATGAGAGTGCAATTTCACTCCAGGTACTCACCCTGAGGATTCTAACAGCGCCTAGCTCAACACTGTCAGCCTGCATCATCAACTATGATTTAATGGACAGTATGGTGTGTCTTTGTGTAAGTGGTGGGAGGGGAGCGGGTAGGATTTGTTGACAACCGGCAAGAGTTGAAGTGATTTAACATGAAACAGATGGAATAAGGCAGGCTCTGCCTACCACTTTGTCAGCCAAACCAAGTACTCACTCTGCAAGCAGTCAGCGTTTAGCAGGTCCTGACACTTTTCGTGGCATTTCACTCCACACTCCAGACACTTCATGCCTTGCCTTGCAATGCCCCACAGGAGCCCTTCACACTCATAACAGTAGGTGGGCGTGGTAGCTGTCCAGACCTCAAAATTGTGTGGGGTGGTAGAAGACATAGGGTAGATCAATGCCTGCAAGGTCTTCTTGAAGACGTGCATTTTCTGTGAACATGAGAGAAGTTACCAGTGTACCGCCAAGTCAATGGATTTGAATTGTTTCATAGTAAAACGAACCATTTTATCACTTTTCTCTGAAAATGCTATTTTGAGAGAGCCCCTTGATCATTGATTCAAGTCATGACAGTAAGCATAATAACTCTGCTAACTTATTCTTCTCTCAATGTTTTAGGGCCCGATTCTGTTATCTGTACACAAAGAACTCCCTAATCTTCCAGACTGGACTGGGCTCCAATGTCTGCAGCTTCTTTCCCAGCAGCACACAGGTCTAATGACTTGAGGATGTCTAAGTCCCTGCTTTGCTATAAACCCCACACCTCTTTTACTTTCTACCCAGGTGGTTATTTCCTGACTCCCTTGTCCTCCCTGATACTTCACCCCTCCTCAGCCCCAAGGAATGCTTCTGTCATGCAATCTGCAGGAAATTTGCTTTCAGCACCTATCACCTGGGAAGGATCTTATCACCTAATTCATAAGAAAGCATCAGTAGTAGATAAGGTCAAATGAGGCACTCTCCCATGATGATTTATATTTTAAAAGGAAATAGTTTCTAATAGCACATGGAAGGACTCTCTAATGATAAGTGAGGTGAAAAAAATCTATTGGACAAGTAGCTGGGAGATCTGAGTTCTCCTAGGCCCAACCACGTGATATTTAAAAGGGGCCTCAATAAGCAGGAACTGTCTTCCATGTTTTTCTTCTTAGTGCCTAAACAGCTTATCACTGTCCCTGGAACATAGTAGAGGTACATTTTTTTTAATGAATAAACGTTCTGCCACTTATGAATCTTGTAATCTACAGAGAGATGTAAGGGCTCAAAGACTCACTCTCCTCCTCTGCTCTGCTTAAAATGCTATTACTTTGAAGATCAAATTGTATAATGATAACAGAAGTAGTCTATAGGCTTCAAAACACCAAATAAATACTTAGTATTGATGCTGGATTAAAAAAAAAAAAAAAAAAAAAAAAACACCACCAACAATAAACACAGGCCAATAGAAAAGAGAATTGGTTAAATGAGTCCTTTTCTACGCTTCTCATATCCCACAAAGCAGGTGACTTCCTGAGAGAAAGACCAGCACTCTCAGAGGTTACATTTACAGAAAATTTCACACAACTGCCTGATGCATAATGAATGGATATTTACATAAACCCTGTAGGAGCCCAGCGGATAAGTCATACTAGAAGGGAAGCATTTATATTTTGCATTAATTATCCTCAAATCTCATTTCAGAATATTTTCCCACAGTGTTGAAATGACTAACTTTCAATTCCACAGTATGGTAACAGCATATTTCCCTTTATTATTACATTACTCTCACTCTGTGTTTTCCCAGAATATGTTTGGTAATGGTACTGGGAGGTCCCCTACCAGGGAATGAAGCCTCAGTAAGAATGTTTCTAATTTTGAATGGTTAGATCCATCCTTGTTATTAGATAAGGGACTGGTCAATCCAGAGCTCTTTATACTTCAAGTGAGTCTACAGAGCAGCAGTATGGTCAAATTCGGGCATCACTCAAGTGGAAGACCCTAATATTAGGGTTTATTCAGATAGAACAACTGGATCCATCACCTTTCAATAAAGAGTGTCTGAAACAAGTAAATCTCCTGGCTTCATTTTATAATGAAGATGTCTTATAAAGAACTGTTAAGAGTTCTTTGAGAATTAGAAGCATGTATTATTCACCTTTGCCTCCTCTTTAATACCTAGCATAGCGAGTATCTTCACTATCATTAAAACAAATGAAATAATCCTTGGCATAACAGATTTTTCATTAGCTACCCACAGACAGAGTCTCCTGTTCTAATTGGGCTGAGGGGCTGTGTGTGTGTTTGTGTGTGTAATGTAGCATTTGTGGTCTAGAAGAAAAATTAGGAAGGGAATTAATTTATATACTTGCAGTTGCATCAGGCAACTCATTTGTTTTAACGGAAAAAAAATAATAAAAATAGAATAATAAAATATTCTAATTACATGGAATACTGAGTGGGAATAAAACAGAGTCTGCTAATGAACACAAGAAAAGTAAGTAATGTACCTTACATAAATGAAGAAAGTAGAGTTGGGAATAAGGTTGTTTTTGAACATGAACTTATTCACATATTTCAAGATTAAGTAAATGATTAATATATATGATCTTATTCCCTATGTCCACTTTGCTTTTACTGAAGTCGAGTGATATATAGTCAGTACTCTAAGTCCATAGGTTATAGTAGGAGTAATAAAAATAAATAACCCTGCTAAAAAATTAAACATACTGGAGGAAAACAAGTAAAAGTTCTGAATAAACAGCCGAGCAGATTTCATTAAAATGTTTTGTTTGGTTTGGCAAAGGAGCCATAATTCATTTCTTGCAAAGGGAGAGTGAAGCTAATTTCTGAAAATAAGAAACATGAAACATTTACTAGACAGCCCATTGAAAAGCAATTGAATGGGGCACTGAAATAAATGCCAATATTTAAAAGTTATTAAAGTTAGAGAAAAACATTAAACATTAGATGACCTACCACAGGGTATATATCCCCTCTAATAAGGGCTTAACACTTTAGGGAATGATGAATCCTTTTCACTCTTGACTTTCGGGAGTATGGGCATGTGTTTATCAAAGCTGAAAATTACTCTACTCTAAAATAAATGCCATACAAAACCATTCTTTTTTCAGCAAAGTATATTCTGAGCTGATAGTTTAGGAACATGAAATAGGTAGGAAAATCATATACAAATAATCTCATAATAGGGGATTCTGGTATTTCAGGGTGATAATGCATCTTGGAGAAAGCTGTTTTCTCGGCAGCAAAATCAGGCAAGATGAAATAAGATTATAAGAAGGAAAAAGTGTGGGTTTTTGTGTGGAATAAGGTGAAAAGAGCAAGAAGCACTAAATAAAAGCATGGCAGAGGAAAACAAGGGGAAACCCTAAAATTTGCCATTGATGGAAGCAAATGAAGTCTATAGTTTACCATTAGAAATCAGATTGAAGGGATGAAAAACCATTAAAAAAAAAAGTAACACTTAGGGCAGGCAGATTAATCATCAGCTATAGATAAGAGCTGAAGGATGGAACTGAGTATGTTATCAGGAGAGGGTCTCTGGCCTAGGTAAACTACTTGGAATCAGACATATGGAGGTCCCTAGAACAAGTAAAAACCTAGTTACTAGAATTAGGACCCAAGGACAGCGGGATATGGCAAAATGAGTGACTTGCTGCTAATCTATTTAATTTTTTAAATTTCTAAATTTTATTTTAAGTACAGGGGTACATGTGCAGGATGTGCAGGTTACATAAGTAAACATGTGCCATGGTGGTTTGCTGCATAGATCATCCCACCACCCAGGTATTAAGCCCAGCATCCATTAGCTATTCTCCCTGCTGCTCTCCCTCCTCCCACCCCCACCCTCCGACAGGCTGCAGTGTGTGTTGTTCCCCTCTGTGTCCATGTGTTCTCATCAGCTCCTAATCTATTTTAAATGTTTCTAAACTTTACAAATCTTCTACAACTTTTCAAATGTTCTACAACAAAAATGTATTTTTCTAAAAATACGTATTTTAAGATTATAATAAAATGCATGCTCATGGTAAAAATAATTTATAAAACAGAAAGGCACTAATATAAATAATAAAAATATTCAATTTAGCCTTTTAAAGTTAGGCATTATTTGATACATATCCTTCCCGTATTCTTTTTTATGTATAGACAGGATGTAACACTCTTGCGATTAGAAAAGAAACATTATTTTCACATTGCTTAAGTGATTCCAACAAAGAAGGCAATTTTTTTCTGCTGTGTATAGACATCTTGTTAACCTGTAGAAATGAGTAAGGAATGTTTTCACATTCTGATAAGCCTTTATAGGCAAGTACAACATACAGACTACACCCTAGACAAATATTTTGTTAGAACTTTCTTCTCCAACAAATAAATTTAAAGTAAGTTGCACTAATATATCACTTTTGGAACAATTAGGACACTGGAAAGAAATGAATTGCCTTTTCTATTCATCACTACCTGAGGAAACTAAAATGAGCCTGAGATATAAAGGAATCAGGCTTCCTGCCAAGAGCAATGACTAGTGTTTTCAGACCATCAATATTCTAATCTACCAACTGTTAATAATTATAACAGGAACAAAGCTTGTCTGCCTCAATTTGCCACATTATTTCTCTCCTTTTTCCTTTCTGTGTTAACCAGTGACTAACCTATGAAGTTCTATTTTCCTCCTCATCCTGGGGAGGAAATAATCCTCCTCGTGAGATTATGTAAGCCACACCTTTCCTATACCCCCCAAATGTCACATTTTTATACTTTCAAGACAAAATACACTTCTTGTTTTGAGGCATTTTTCATATACTTGATGGATACTTTTTAGAAAAAATATGTTTGCTCTTCTGTAAAGTACAAATGTTATTGTTTCTGGACAAAAGCATCAGAATTTTTGCAGAGCAAACATTAGGTACAATATGATTTTTGAAATTTGTTATAAACGTGAAGACAGAGCAATGCTTGGATAAAATCCTGAGCATAAAAACAGACATAATTTCAGTGCTGATTGCTCATCTAAGTAATCATCCTATAAGATTGATTGACTGTAGAAGCTAAAATTATTCAGGTAATTTTTTTTGTAGCAGAAAGTACAAACGAAGACTAAAAGTTATATTCCTATCTATGTGAGAATGTAAGTAGTTTTCTTTCACTTCTATTGCTTTATAACAGATATAAATTAACATCGTTCTACAAAACTTATGGGGTGAGTCCAAAGAAAGAGGGCAGAACAATGCTAACGTAGATGATTCCTTAATTCAAGGAGAGCACAATATAGCATAAGCCCTTTGTTATGACACAGAACATAATCTGAAAACAAAATATGATAGATTTTTTATGTACTATAAATGTCCTTTTTTCCCAATTCAAACTTTCAATAAAAATGTATACAAGGGATGTGGGTGGTATGAGATAATTAATTTGATAAATACATGAAACTAAA